TCTGCTGCTGCCATTACACATTTCACCTGCGTCCCTCGCAGCTTCCACGCTGGTTTCTGCTCAGCGAGGAGCTCGTCCCTCAAGGCCTTTGAAACGGCCCGCGGCGGGCGATCTGTAATTGCCCACGGAGGCGGTGGCTGCGGCCGCTGCCGGCAGAAACAGCTTCGCTTGGCTCCTGCCCAGCCTCTCTACCTGCGGCCCCCGGAACAAAGCCGGGCAACACGCGCGCAGTGGGAGCTGCGGGGAGCCCCGCCGCGGAGCCGGCACGGCCGCGTCCTCCTCACACTCATTCACATTTCATCAATGCGCCTTCTGCCCCTTTGCCACGTACCCTCTGGGCAAAGGAATTAACTTCTGAATTAACCAAACGAAATGGTATCTTACACAAGCGACGTGAAAAGCAGAAGGCGAGCAAGCAAGAAAAATCAGCTTTGCAGAGTAATGGAGACGCTATGGAGCTGGTCTAGTGAATGAGATAGAGAAATATTAACTGACAAAAACACGGCAAATGACTGGATTGCTCAAGACCATTTTCACTTAAATATATGCGCAGACTATGTGCGTGCCCAGACACTTAGGACGTACAGTTACCGAGGTCTGTGTGCACACATTCACATTCAATCCTTGCACGCACATGCATTACTGATTACACTAAAGCAGTGATTGCTGAGTAACAGAATTACCACTGATTTTCTTTCGGCATTTTCTAGATTGTCTATGATGGAGATGCGAGCTTTCCTGGGGCTACCATGTGACTGGGACCCCAGTTTCGAGAGCCCTTTTCCATCCAGAAGGACTCCAGAGACGATGCCGCACCCACTGGGACTCTGTGCACAAGCTCCCCAACCCAACAGCGTGCCTGGGAGTTCATGGCAATAAAAACCGAAACATCAACAATGCGCCCATTCCTGGCCAGCGACCGCTCCTCCCTCAGCCACGGGGAGCCTCTACGAGGCACTCAATCTCTCCGTTAAGCAAACAGCACAACCTACTGCGCAGGGGAGGGCAGGTGGCGGGTGGCTGGCCAGGGCCCCAGCAGCAGCAGGCAGCTGGTCATTAGCACTGCAGGATGGGAGTGGCGGCCAGCCCCCACACAGAGGGCGGGAAAACCGGGTGCAGAGTCACCTCGCTGGAGGAGTGTGCTGCAGAGGGGAGAGAAGGGGCGGAAATGAGAGGAGAGAGTGTCCTGGCCCCACCCTTGTCTCCTGGTCCTTCATCCTTAAGCCAGCTGAGGCCGGACGTTAAGCGAGTCACTCGTCCTTCCGAAGCTCAGATAAGAAACAGCGACAGTAATTTGTGTATCTCAAGTTCACGGTGAAAATCAAATGAGAACATGCAGATAAAGGGCCCAGCACAGGGCCTGGCACACACGGGGGTCCCAGTCCATGAGGCGCTCCCCCCATCTCCTTACACCCCAAAGGGCTGTGCTCTGCCAGAGAGAAGCAGGAGGCCACACTCAGGGTCACACCGTGCTGCCCCCCGACATC